ATCACTACCGTCTGAAATTTTTTTTATTAGCATGCTTTTCATTATTTTGGAAAGCCTTTTTGTTTAATGCTAACTGCAGCGTTTCTCACATTTATTTTATTATAAGATATCTTACAAATCCTGAAATTTTAATGGTATGCTATGGATTTTGTAACAGAAAGATAGAGTTGGGTTTTTTCAAATTTTAATGACAAGTAATGCAAAGGAGTACAAATTAAAATGTTATTGTAAAATTGAATAGTGAATTTCGAAAAGGACTCGTCCTCTAAATTTTGCAATATGTACTAAGAGCATAAAGAGTTCATATATGATTTTTATACATCATAAAAACAAGTCTTTCAGAAATTTACGCCGCGAAATTGAGGTACACATTTCCTACCTCATGTTACCATAATTGGCGATGCATCGCCGTTTGGCTTCTTTTCTCCAATAATTTACTTAAGAAATACAAATATTCTACGAAATGATTCTGAAAAGTTCGAAAAAATGTCTAGAAATTATTTTTCTCCTTCAATAGATTTATTTAAATGTGTGTTTATTAAAGATAAATAAATATAAGCAATGAATATTTTACTTACAATACTGACCAGCTACGGCTAGTAATTGGTGATGAAGTGCGAATTTATTGGCCACCGCTCTGATATCGAATACCAATCAATTAGCAGCGTCGAAAGATGGATGGCTTGTTTGGTATTTGATAGAGTGATTTAGTATTTCTCAGAGGAACTGTTAGAAATTGCTCGTTAGGAAGATTGGCGGAAACTGTAAGCTATGCGCAAGAACTTTTAACAAAGATCTTTTCTTGTTATTGCAGTTCATGAGCATTTCTAATCTTGAATAATTCTTTTTTTACCCATAAAAGAATGGATGTTTTACACATAAAAATATGGATTTTGTTTTAACTACCGGGGTTTTAGTTTCCTTGAACACATTTTTCGTTTCCTTGATTACGTTTTTAACGTCATTGATCAATGTTTCGTTTCCTTGGCCATTTTCAACATTTCTTTCAGTTTATTTCTCCTTTTCAATTTCTTTCATGAGCTATTCTTATTAAAATTGGTTGATTTAAACTTATTTCCTGAACTTTTTTTACACACAATATTTATAAATTCTTTAACGAGTTTTTTTCATATTTGATATTTTAAAATTCCTTCACGAGCTTTTTTTACACATAATATTTATTTAACTTTTTTTAGCGCTAATAGTTATATAACTAAATAATTAAATAATGTAAAATTGTTTAAAACGATCATCTGGTGAAATCAAAAGCAATTTTATTTCAAAGTGAAAATGAGATTTTTCAAGAAAACAAAATTTGTTAAGAATTCTAGATTTGTTTTTGTTTTTTAAGATTGCTGTTATTCGTTTTGTTCTTACAATAAATTCTTGATTTTATGGGTAACCTCTATATCGATTAAGCCGATTATATGTATCTGTTATTATTATTTTTTATATAAATTATTTTTATAATTTAATCGAAAAACTTTTTCAAAAGGGTAGAAAAAGGAAATTTTCTTTGAAAAAGAATTTTTTTTTATTTATTATTATTTTTTTTTATGAGACTTAACTATGAAACATATGAAATTTATGTATTCGGGAATGCTATTATGGATTCTCTTTTATACAATGGCTTTGATTTATATCCATCTCTCTATCTCTCTTTATATATATATATATATATATATATATATATATATATATATATATATATAATGCACTCACATCATTTGCACATCTTTTCGACTGGCTCTGCTTATTAATCAGTAATATGAAATTACACACAGATAAATTATACATCATTAAAATAATGAAACTGTAAAATACACTTGATAAATTATACAAATATGTAATAATAATTATCGTAGTATTCATAATTCTCTTCAGGGTACAAAATATTAAAAATAATTTTTATAGTATAAGACGACATATATAGAAACATTAAATTTACACTTATTTAAAGTGAAAGAAAAATGAAGTAATCAAATCCTTGGACATTTTTTTCCTTCTCGCCAAAGAATAAACTGTCTCAAAAAATCGCTATGCTGCCATGTCATATGCTAAGCTGCAAAACCCTGAAATACAAGAATACAGCTAATTCTAAATTAATTAAAACGACTTCTTATCAATCGATGAGTATTATAGTTATTCATCCAAATAAAAATTACCTATCTTGCATGCTACATTATGATAAGGCTTCGATATAAATATGATTTTAACTGCTATATATACTCAATAAAATTGTTTTTAAAACATTTTATATTCCTTCAACATAAAAATGTATTCAAATCAATATGAGTATATATTTTCCACGAATTTTATTTTATTACTTCTCTATATCTGGTATAACCTGACCAATCACGTGATGAAATGCTGACCACTCATTGGTGGAGATTCTTTTCTTGCTAACATGCATCCTCAGAAGATCTTATCAGACAATATTCATCCCTAATTTCACATTTTGTTGAAAGATTTTTCTGAGAAAGCATTGTCATTAATATTAAAATCATATTTTAGTTCCTACTTTTTAGAATGAGTGAACCAAGTAATCCGGAGGATGAAGTATGGATGATAAAAAAGAGAAATGATGAAAAACCCACAAAAGGTGTAAGTAATACAAACCTGAAGTGATAAAAACTAATACGAAGACATTTTAAAGTGGCCTATTGAAGCAGCAAAACGCCGAAGAAGATTTTTAGAAAAAGATAAGGGGGTTATTTTTCATAAGACACTAACTCCCTGGCACTACAATCCATGGTGGACCATGGCGTAATGCTTACTGGCAGATTCTGAAACATGAAATGCTTTCTTTTTACGGTGAAGGGTTGTAGGCCTTTCCCCCAACATTCATATTAGACCGGGACCTATGGTTTAAAGTGTATTCTGAACCATTTCAAACAACCATGGGACATTCGAGACTCTAATCCTGTGGCACAGAGCGCCAGAGAGCTAGAAACTCCAACATCGAGCCCCATTTTTCATAATAAGTAGCATAATAATTTTGCAAAATTCGAAAGAAAACAATAACAAATTAATAAAAATGTTTTTTTATAATAAATGTTCTTTTATAATGTCATTTTTTACAAAAACTACTTAAGTCCTTGCATAAATATCGAAAAGGATATATTCCCCGACACAATTTTATTTAAAGAAACCATTTTAGTAACTAACACATTAGTTAAAATTTTCGGCGAAAAATTGAATTCTTACTTGCGCTTTAAATGGTTGGAAAGAAATTCAGTTTTATTTATTCTACAAAATTTCAAAAATTCGGGAATTTTCGAAATTCATGATTAAATTATTAAAAAGTATTATTGAAAATTTAATATGTCTTACAGAGAATTTGTCTGCTATTTTCCAAAATGAACAACTCAATACACATAAAATCCTCTATTTTTATATCGAATAATTCTCTATTTAATTTTAAATGATGCTTTCTATTGTTCAAGTTCAGGTTATTTTAAAAGTTAATTCTTATATCTCATCATATTTCTATTTTTTTTTCCTATATTCTTTTTTCAGGTTCCCTTTAGAATTAACAATCTCAGAAATACAATCTTTCTTGATAAGTTTATTTTCCGCTTATTTAAAAACTAAAATTACCAATGTGGGATATTTTGATCTAAAGTTTGATTCTCTTTCCTAGAAGGAGATTTAAACTAGTTATTGTCGATTTACGAGCTTTCTAACTTTAACGAAATAGTGCCCTAGCTAAAGTTAGTTGATATAAAAAAGTTAACTATTTTTTATAACGACATATATATATATATATATATAACATTACAGCAAAAATTCGATTCGATTTTAGATTGACCAATGAAAGTCATCATTTTCTCCACTCTCAGTCCATTAAATTCTGAATATCGAAGAAAACTACAGTTTAAAATGAAATTTACTGATATGTGCTGTGTTTAAAGATGAAAATAGAAACTCAGGGAATGCTCAGAAGTAGATAATGTTGCATAGAAAGACGTTCTTAACTGTTATTTCTGTAATACTTTGTTTACCTATTGAATTTTGTAAGCTATTCTACCTTTTTTTATAAACTATATTGTATAATATACGTTAAATTATTATTTAAAGTCAAATTAGCCCATTTGAATTTATCTTTTATATCCATATATTGAGGGGCTCTTACTTATATCTTTTAATATAATTATTCTTATTTTTAAAAATTATTACAGTGCAATGATGAAGTTCATACTGTTTCAAATACTTGGGACATACTGAATGGAATTCATCAAGCCGAATATGGACATTGCAAGTAATTATATACATTGCAAGTAATTATATTGCTATATTAAAAGCAGAAAGTGTAAAAGATCTTAGATGGTATCTTGAAATATTGCAGTCCAGGCAGCTAAAATTAAGTTCAATCTGTGGGTTTCAAAATTTTGTAGTAGTCTGTATGACACAACTGGAGAACGATCTAATGAACACTCTGCCTAATTCAGTGCACCACCGCAGTTTGCAGTGCACCAGCTACAAAAAAACAACAACGATTGAAGTTTTAAACAAGCAGCTATGTAAATATAAAAAGTCTTGTTGCGATCAGTACAATCAACATTCATTTCAGAAAATGAGGTACCGTATTCAAATATCATGAACAAGACGCCATAGTGGCATAAGGGCATGCAAAACGAGGGTAATCAGCGAGCCAGGTACAAACTATTATAAAAAGAGAAAAGCATAAAGTTCTATTAAAGACATTTTCTGCCAGTTCATATGACATTTCAAGTCAGTTCATATGTGAATCACATAAACTCATGATTAAAACTCAAAAAGAGTATTCAATTTAATAGCAGGCTTCGGTTACAAGAGTTTCAGGTAAATCCTTGAGCTAGTTTCATGGAATTGCTTTTTTTTTAAATTAATTTTAAATAAAAGCAAATATCTCAAGTCAAAAACCGGATACCATTTATTTTGATATTTATTGTTAATATACACATAAAACAACAATTTCTTTCAACATGATTTATGTTCGTAGAAGGCAATAAATAGCCAACGGCCGTACCATGCTGAATATACCGGTTCTCGTTAGATCACCGAAGTTAAGCATCATTGGGCGCGGTCAGTACTTGGGTGGGTGACCACTGCGTGCCGTTGGCAAATTTGGGACCTGAATGGCCGAGTGTCTAGCGCTCTGGCGCTCGGTGCCACAGGTTTCGGGTTCGAATCCCGGCGGTGCCATGGATGTTTGTAGCGGTTCGGAATCCACTTTAAGCCGTAGGTCCCGGTCTTCTATGACTGTAAGAGCGTCACGGAGCAAAAGTCAGGCTTCTACCTACGGGTGCTCCATCACAACAGAAGCTGCTTCCTTCCCCTTCAATCATGAGTCCCTATGGGCTCGTGGGCTTGGCCAGCCAAGTGGGATAAGAAACAACAACAAACAAGGCAATAAATATTTTATTGCTTTGCAGCTTAGTACTTTTCTTTCACGGATCTCCAGAAATTACAGAGATTTCTTTTCTTGGAAACAGGAATCAGTCAAATATTCAATCATTATTTCCTTTTCAAACTTTGTGTGTGTGTTTTATACCACTACTAATATTATTTTCACGAACCCACAGCCGGTCCACCAAGTATTCTCAGTATTATATATACTACCCTACGTTTGAAACCGTTCACGTAGAGTAATGGTGCTGCGTATTGATTCACCAAAAGTAAGCCCATGAGTTCATTTTGCACAATGGATCAGAAATCACATCAGCTCCATTAGCATATGCTATTTATAAGAGAGAAACCTATGAATAAAGGAAGATTATTCTAGACAAGATCCAGAATCAAAGAATGTATTAATGTGTTTATAATAACGTACAAAAATTGGATAGGTATAATAGATGAGGGAGACCTTAACATGATCGTTATGCTGCTTGATTTACAGTCTGGATACACAAAATTATGTTTCTTTTTGTGTGAGCTGAACAGTATGGATCGTAAAAGGCGTTTCAAATTGAATATATTATATTACATATATCCCTTACATATGGCGAAAATTTCTAACTGATCTCAAAAACATCTGATTCTCATAACAAACAAGTAATATAAAAAAAAATGTAAGTCAATTAATAATTTTTTTTTTACTATATTGCAAAGTACTTTATAAATAATTTTCCTTCATTTTTTTAAAATTTATCTGGCGCCATCTATTGGTAGATATATGAAAATTAAATCTAAAAAAAACTAAAATTAATTAATTAAATTAAATTACTGAATTAATATTTGAAAAAACAGTGTTAACTTCAAGTGTCATCCACTACAAGTTCAAAATAATGTATTTGAACTTGAGTGGATGAATAAAAAGTATTTTATTAACGACTGAAAATGTGAACAAGATATATATAGGGAGAGTGTAAGCTAATAGAAGGAATTGAAATAAATTTAAACACAAACAGAAAGGGTAACCAATTTTTTTTCTTAAAGAGTATTTCTATGATTAGTAAAAATAATTAAATACGGAAATTTTCGTTGAACTCAAAATTAAAAAACTATTTTTTAAATTTTTTTTAAATAAATCTTTTGAAGGCAATTTGAATGACTGAAAAATATCCATAATTTACTATCGAATTGAATGTATTATGAATGAAAAATAACGAGATGTCCTTTCCTGAAATGGATAAATGGTTTTGATTTCAAAATTCAGAATCAAGAACAATACAACGATTGTCATAAAATTGTAGAATAAAGAGAATTGAAGAACTTTTTTTTCTTTAGTATAAAAGCTAATATTACAATAATGTCTCAGGTTTTAGATATAAAAAAAAAGGTATTAATATTAAAATTCAGTGTGATAAATAAAATAAAGATCCCCTAAAAATAGGAGGAAAAGGGGTTTTTTTTTTCGGTAAGGTATTGTATTACCAGTGTAATATCTGTAAGGCACTGCATTCTAATGTATCAATTTCAAATCACATTATTTCTTTGAGTTCTGTTTCCCTTTTTGGACCATATTCCATTCATTTAATCAAAGAAATACAGTGTTCCATTTTTTCTCATCTTTCACATAGCTTTTAGTGGGTGGTACATGCACCCATTAACTTTATATATGTCTCGCTGCTACTATTTTCTTGTTCTTCAATAAAGTATGTTCCTTTAAAGTTTTTTACCTGCAGGATACTTTCTTCATGATGATTTTTTATTTTCAACTTTTTACTACTTTGTGGTGGATCAGTTTTTCTAAAACTTAATTTTTTTTCCATTGATAGTTTGAATTTATGGTTCAATATGTTTTTCTTTGTCTTGTTATGAATCACATTAACTAATAAAAAGTTTAAAGCAGATCTTGACATAAATAGTATAAAATTTTTAATAATAATAATATACATGTACTTTACATATTTATTTCTAATTACTTTGATTTTGAAATACGTTTTCTACTATTTACAGTACAGTAGTACTGTCTCTCCTAAAAAATGACAACTATAATAACATTCGTAATTATCATTAGATTTTCAAATGATATCCTTGCAAAATGATACGAAAGAAACTAATTTACGGTGTGACGTAATTCATAATGTAGCATTTTTCCAAGGGAAGAGTTGTAGGATTTCGTTTTCAGGAGAGAGGAATGTATATTTTTTAATGAGTACATAATAACAAACTGTCACTCAAATTTGACAGCACATAACCAGTGTTATGGATAATGAGACCTCTTGAAATTAGAGATTGTCTGTGCAACCTTCACAGATCGAAACAATTACAGATGGGTTATAGATCACATCATTGATGATAGACTTATTGATAGACCATGGGTTGATAAATGTCTACTCCAATGAGAAGTGAGGGAAGTCTTGACGGATTGTCGTAAAAAGAGATTTTTGGTAAAGAAGGGAGGGGCTTCTGTGACGAGTCGACCAGAAGTGTTATTTTTTTTCTTTCTGAAGTGACTGAATAGGCCGAGGCCGATGACCGAACCCAAGATTTTTAGTATGATAAATTCGATTCCATATGATAAAACTAGTATAAGATAAATTTTTTTTAGAGATGTGCTTGAAAGCTTTTAATATATGGGGATTTAAAAATTTACTTTCCTAATGCTAAATGAAAATTTCACATAATGTAATATATACCTCGAGTTCTAATTAATATATTTTTATTAATATTTGCTCCAATTAAAAGAATTATTTCTAAATTAAAAAAAAAAAAACTTTTATCTAAATTCCGTGAATATTTTTTACAAATATTGAATGTTAAAAGTCGTAATGAAAAAAAGGTGAGTTATTTTAAACTGAATTTTTTTTATATTTTAATTTAGTTATAATTTACTTTAATTAATTTATTAGTTTTTTTATAATTAATTTACTTTCTTATGCTCTATATATTCTTATGCTCTATATTCTATATTCTTATGCTCTTTCTTATGCTCTATATTTCTTATGCTCTATATATTCAATTTTTAATAATAATAATATACATGTACTTTACATATTTTTTTCTAATTACTTTGATTTTGAAATACGTTTTCTACTATTTACAGTAGTTTGTATAAAAACCTTTTGTGAAATTATTCTAAATGTTTTTCAGATATTCAAAAAAAAAATGCTTATTGGGGATTACTTCACAAACTGAAAGTCGGGAGGAGGGAAAGTTAACAGTGGAGAATGGGAAAAGTTAAACAGTGAAATAATTAACATCGCTTGCTTTAATTTTTAATCTTTTTTTATTAATTTTTTATACAATTAATTAAATTCTTTTTATTGTTTAAAATAATTATTATCTTTTCTTTAAATAATTTAGTTCTATATTTATCTTAGAAAAAAAAATTTCATAATTTGAATTAATAAAATATTAAAAAATAAAATTCTAGAAACATTAAAAATTTTTATTGCGCTTATTCATATTTTATGCTATAAATACATTTTTAACAAAAACTTAATGAGTCTCTTTTTTTCATAATTTGAATAATTAAAAATAAACAGAATTTTCTCGTTTTCTGACCTAATATAAATTTAGTTAAATTTATATTATAAATAATGAGATGTTTTTTGCTTTTTGCTTACATACAAAAAGATTAAAATGTTTTTTTTTTAAACTCTTCAGCTGTTTTAGAAAGTTAATAGTCTTTTATTGTTTTATATTATGTAAATATATAAAATTTCTTATATTACAGGACTTGAAAGTAATGTCGTTTTTTACATTAAGTTCAAACGAAGTAAATTTTTAATGAGTTTTTATTTTTAGCCAATGATGAAATCACCCTCATTATCAACAACTTTTTGCAATCTAATGTGAAAGTGAATTTTGCAATAGGTTTGTATAGAATTCATAATATGCTGAATCGATTGCGCTAAAAATCTTTACTAGTTAAGTAACCATGCTAATTAATTTTGTTATTAACTATATTGCATCATAATTTATTTACCAATGAGCCATTTCCAACATTACCAATTATGTGAAGATATAATCGTTACTATGAAGGTTATTAAAAGAGCCATTTTTTTCGAAAGAGGAGACTGTAAGACTGTAATTAAACTTTTTTACTAATATTTCTACAATAATTTTTGTTTTTCTGTAAGCGTTGCATTTTGTGAACAATGATCTTACCCAAATATATTTGTACAGCTTACGATTTTTTAATGAAGCAATAATTCTAATAATTATGTATATTAAGATATAAAATATACAAAAATTATTCAGATTTGGTATTATATTTTTCTTCTTTTTACTATATTTCCAATTTTATACTCGGTTAATCCTTGGACTAGAAGTAAAATTAATTAGAAGATTTCGCAACTAACGTCAGCTAGTTTGTAAAGAAAAAAAGTTAAATAATGCGGGAAATAGTTATATTTTTTAAATAGTATCCCATTTACTTTCGTTTTATTTATTTTTTTATTTCTTACTCTTAAGCCTTTCGCAACGAGCGGGCAGAAGCGTTCAGATTCGTAATCGTTAATACCGTCCATTGCAGTCGCAGCTTTCGGAAACAGAAAGACTCGATGGCGATTATGACAATGTGCGTATGTATCTTGCATCGACAGTCAGCAGACTGCCTAATGAGAGTTTTTTTTTTGAGGTTTCACCAATACGACATGAAAAATTGGGACAGCATAATTGCTCCTATGCACTGCAAGAACTGTGGCTCTCAGGAGAAA